GCATTCTCAGACAGATAATCAAAAACTCATCATTAAAGATGGTTGGCCAGAATCAGATTGTTTTGATTTTCATCATATTTTGCTCATCCTCTTTGCAAATCACAAGAAGATTCTCTTCTTGGTTCACAAAGAGGAAAACAAAACTGTTTGCAAGCATATGAATTAATTAAATACAAGACAACATATTAAACAAAATGCACAAAGCTGCATAAATTCAAATTGTCAAAAAGGCAAACCAAACTGAAATGCCAAACCAAATTGCAAGTTTCAAACTACGCAAACTAAATCAAAAATTCAAAACTGTCCAAAGAAACTGTCAAAAGGCTGTCAAAGAAGATATCAAAGGCAATGCAGAAAATCTGGGAGATAAGTACAAGATGCAGAGGAAAGCTAAAGTTGCAAGCAAGCAATATTGTCAAAATCTCTTCATCATTTTCCAGCCAGAACCTTTTCAGAAAAAGTACAGTTAAAGCAATAAAGTATGCTTTAATAGAGAGAGAGAAAAGAGAGAGAGTGAGAAGTAGAGGGCTCTTACAGTTTTGCAGGCTTAGAAGATAGAAATATAACAAAGAGTTCAGTTTAGAAAAAGAGGGGGCAGAACACATAGAAAAATATAACACCAAAGCTGTAAACACATAACACCAAGCCCTCGAGCCTGCTTCAAACAAGCCTCAAAACTACCTCAAGCAAGCAAACAACAACCTGCCTCAAGATTGCTTCAAGCCTGCCTTCATAAAACCTCCAGCCTGCATACAAGAAAGCCTACACAACAAACTAACAAGCTCAGTAAAATTGCAAACTCTGAAGCCTGCCTCAAGCCTGCACAAAGCACAAGCCCTGAAGCCTGCATAAACATAACCTACATAAACTTCAATAAACCCAACTGTACCATACAAACCTGCCTCAAGCCTGTCAAAAACCATACAAACATTCAACTTGCCTTCAAGATCAAGTAACCAAACTCAAAGCAAACTCCAACAAGCCTGTCAAAACCTAAACCCCAAACAAGCCTCAAAACTGCCTTCAATCCAAACCAAACTCAAACAAACCTTTGTTCAAACATAGGCATGCCTTCATTTCAAAATCCAAACACAAATCCAGGCATCCTCAGAACAAGAAATTCATCACAGGATCAAACAAATAAGTATATCAAAAGCATCTCAGATTTAAAATCATCATTGAAACACAAATTAAGCCAAAGAGAGATTTAAAGTTCATCAACATAGCCTAATCAGAACGACAACAAGGCAAGCAATTAGAAGAAGAAAAGAAGATTCAGAAGCGGATGCCCTAGGGTTTTCAGAAGCATAATACTCATCACTAAACCATTCAAAGAAGAAAGTTACGAGGGTACCAGACAAACCAGAAAAGCTTTCATCAGCATCATAGCCTCCCCGCCTTGGCCACCGGAGAACGCCTCCTGTCCAAACTCTCCGTCTCCTCTCCAAAAGCAAACCCTAAGGTATCAATTCCTCTTCCTTTTTTCTCTACATCTCATAATCCAAACACCAATAACACAGAAGATCAAAATATGTCAATAATCAATAACATGCGAATTTTGAAACCCTAAAACGTGAAGAAGGAAATCGTTACCTTTTATCACCGTCTGGTACAACCATGGAGAGAGGAGAGTGGAGGTGGCGTCCGGCGGCTGAGGCAAGTGGAAGGCATCAGAAGCTCTGTTGAGAGCGAGGAAGAGGACAATGAAGAAGAAAGGGAGCGGCGCCGTTCAATTGAAACCCTATTCTGAAGCAAAACATCACTAACCCTAACAAAAAACTTCTCAAAACGCGTTTAGGCTTCTGTCCCACAAAACTGCTAAAGCCCAATGAATCCTGGCACCACACCCCCCTTTTTTTTGTCTTAATCTGCCTTGTTTCGTTTTTGGGCCATGTATATAATCCCTAAGGCCCATTTAACTCTTTTTATTTTTTTTTCTTATGATTACAAATCAATCCTTTTTTTATTTATCATATTATTTCCCTTTCTTTTTATATAACTTATTTTGTTAAGAAAAACAATATATTATTTTTTTGTACAAAACTTTTCTTAATGTTTATTACATTTTACAAAAATATGTAAATATTAGATTTATTAGGTTGATAGATTTTTGTCTTAAAACTTTTTTTGTTTAATAAATCTTTGTATATATAAAAACATTAACTAAAATACATAAACAATAGTTTTCTTTAAGCTTAAAACATTTTTCTTTTCTTTTCGTTAAAACTCTTGTCTATATAATTAACAAAAACACAAAAATAATAATAAAATACTTAATACATTAGGTTAACATTTTTACTCATTTGTAAATAATCATATGCATGTCACAATACTTTTGTTTCTCTTTTATTCTTATACCTTGCTATATTTTACATTGAGAATGCGACGATTCGATTTGGTTGTAAATAATATTTGGACACTACTATCCTGATAAGACTCATCCCCATTTGTAAACATTTGTACCCCCATCCCCAGATACTTATTTGTAATAGCTTAGACTTTAAATTCCCGCAATTTATCGCTTTTTATATACTGTATAGTAATTAGGGTTTGTATGCGAAGATTCAAAATCAACCGCTAGATAACCTAATACAAGACAAATGCATGAAAATCAATACACAATGCACACTTGCACCTCTAGGATAACCTCTCTTGTTGCCTCGGAAAAATGCAATCATGTCCCTCGAACTTGAGACACTCTAGCAAATGTCCCTTCGATAAACAAAGATCGTTATTCCCTCGATGACCCTCGATGCCGCCTTCGATAAAACGATCTCGTCCCTTACAAAATTGCTAGAGCGTCTCACAAGTTGCCTTCAATGATTGTATACGATGACTCGCGCCTGTCCCGTTTAACATCCTAACGCAAGGTTGTTCACCAAATACAATGGTGAAACAACACTGTTAAAAGGGTTAAAAAATATAAGAAAGATCTTTGAGTAAATTAGGATAAATAGCTCTTAGTTACTTGATCAAAAACTTGCAAAACATCCTTGCCATTTTTCAAACACACATCTCCACACAATTTCAAAACAAACTTTCAAAACATTGAAACATCTTTTCAAAAAGACAAACACCTTTGTAAAACATTCGAGTAAAGAATTGTTACAATGGTTGCCTAGACAAGGCATCTTTTTCAAAACATTTTCAAAACCACACACACAAAGCACCATTTCAAACAATTGAAAAGCAAAGGCAAGTGATCTAAGCAAGTAACTAAGAGCCCATGGATAACTATGAATGAAAAGGGTGCTAGCACCTTCCCTTTTCATAATCTACCCCCCGAACCCATGAAAACATCTCAAAGGTCTTTCCTGTGCTTTTTTACCTTTCCTTAGGATAAATAAAAAGTCGGTGGCGACTCTTGCTAAACCGAACAAGTGCGAATACAAACGCAAAACCCAAGTCAGTTCTCCCACCGTATCACAGAGACTAAAAAGCATGTTAATTATCAGCCAGGGAGATTTATGCAGAAAATAGTATGATATGAACACCATATTAAAGTTACAACTAGGTTCAATCAGAGTATCACACTACAAGAAAATTGGCAGATTGCGGCAGTTATTTTGGCAGATTACAACGTTAAAAGCCGCTGAAACTTACTATCTTCGACGGTTTTTGGACTGTCGCAGAAACGTGTGTCCCCAGGTTTTTTCACGACGGTTGCCAAAACCGCTACACTAACTGTCGTTCAATTTCACGACGGGTTAGAACTGACACAAAATATAAATGGCAACGATTCAATATCGTCGTGAATATCCTTTTGAAAGTTGTTCTCATTGTTGGTTGCGACGGTATAAAACTATCGTGAATGTAATATCCTGACGGTACAAACTGTCGTAATTTGATTTATAAATTTTAGATATACTTTCTTTGATAACAGTTTAAAGTGCTACTAATTCTTTTATTTTTACAACATTATAATATCAAAATGCGAGTTCCATAATCTTGTCATGTAGTAAAAAAAAAAAATATATATATATATATATATATATATATATATATATATATATATATATATATATATATATATATATATATATATATATATATATATATATATATCAAATTCTAATCTTATTATAATAAGCATCATTATGTCAAAAATACATAAGAAAGTTCATAATCTAATTAATTTACAGAAAAGTCTAATATATACTTCTTGATGATCCAATATCTGCAATTCGGTAGCTAGACTCAGATAAACGTCTACCATCAACGGGTGATTTCAATCCCTGAAGAAAAAATGTATTAAAACAATACTCTTTAAAATAATACTCACGAGCTTTAACTTTAAATACATCAAAATAATATATATATATATATATATGTCGTCCACTAAAATTTTGCATTAGATTTAACCACCGATATAGTCTGGTTCGAGGGTCAGTTCTGACATCAAGTGGTTCGATTAGTTTAACCAAATACGAATGTCACCAAAAACAACACATTCATTTGATTTAAGATATGTTCGATTAGTTTTTATCAATTGAACAATTAATGACAGATATAAAGTTCATGTCATGAAATAAATACAGACTTATTCTAAATAAAAATACAAATATTTGTACTTTATTTCTTACATATACAACATAAACATCGAAATTACTTTCATCTTTTTCTTTGACATTGCTGCTCTTTAAACCTTAACCAACATAATCAGTAGCACACGAGAGAATAGATAAGTGAATATTATTTATGAAGTAGAAACTATAGTAAAAAAAATTAAAAGCAAAATTGAGAAACTTTATGGCCACAAATTTAGCACAACTTTAACCAATTCCTTCCTAATGCAATCATTTTCAATTTCTCTAAATTATTGAGAAGTGTTAGTGAAAAATATGCTAAGATGATTTAAACATATCACATGGAAGCAAACATACAATTAGAACAATTTGAAAAACATTTAAAATGATACCTCTGTAATATGGCTGGACGAAACATTTATTTAAAATCTGAATCCCTCAATTATAAAGATGTAAGAAAATGAAATAAAGTCATTAATAACCAAATGATACCTCTGTTATAGTAAAGCTATAACTGAGCAATTCTTTATTCTTCCAAGATGTTGTGATCAATTTTAAAGACATATCTAATAATTATGCATGAACGGGTTAATTATCAATATATGAGAAAATAATAATGCAACCAACAACATCTCCATAAATAATTAAGATGATAAAACATGCCTGATAGTTTGCAGATTTTACGTAAAGATGGAATAAGATCTTCAAGAAACTGTGCAGAGAACTCGCAAATTAGGATCACCTGTGGCCAAGGACACAAATAACGATGATAGACTTTCCATCGTTAAATGGATTAGTCTTTGTAGCTGGAAATAAGAGTGGAATGTATTAGCCTAACTTGTTAAATAATTGATGTGTCACCTACAGATGCTGCAAGCATTTTAACAAAGGCAGTACCTCCTTCGAGTTATAAATGACAAGGTGAACTTGTCTCTGCAATATTTCCTCCTCTACAAGCTGAAATCTTGTAGCCAAATTAGCAAACAAATCATTGTTCTTCATTGAACTAGGAAAACCTGCATGATCCTGAGGTATTATAGCATCAAACTGAGTGAGGCAAGGAAAAAATATATAAAATAAATGTTGATATTGAATATTTACCTTGATTTTCTATTTGATAACTATTATAACTACCATTTACACACATGTTTTAACAAAATGCCACCCAACCATCTTTCCAATGAAAAGTTGTAGTATAGTGCAAACAAAATAATTGATGTGTCACCGTTAGCAAAAGAGATATTAAAAATTGCTTCTGTACTCTCCCTTTTAATTAAAACTCAAGAGTTCTTGAGAGATAGTTATCACAATTTTGTATACTACCTTATTCTGATATATAAGAATTTAAGACACCTTTCATCCATTATGTGAGAGCTCATATTCTTATTGAGCAATATTTAATGCCATCATCAACACCTAAGTGGCTAACTCATGCTTATGTAGCATGCATGCTGCAGAATTATTTATTTAGTCATACATGAGAGAAAAATGTAATAATGTGGTACCTTCTGGGCTCCAGTCTCATGTGGGTAAACATCAAACATTTATATATACCATCAAAGATATGTAACTCCCAACTATAGTTGGAGTAATTATCTATCTCTTTTAAATTTTAGCAGGTGCTAAAATAGAGACAAAACCAATGTAACCCAAAACAAAACTATTGAATAAGTGGATAGGTGCTTATATTTAGAGTTTGTAAAACATACCACCCAAGTTAATGTGACATTATCTTCAGTAGGCAGTCCTACTGTTTAAGAAAACAGAATGTGAAAATTCACATCGCGCTAACATTTAGGAAATAAAGTGGGTCAAAAAGCATAACATAATATTTATAATGCTTACTTCACATTGAGATTATTTGGTTTTGATTCTCACAATTGAGTTTAAAACCCAAGAATATAATAAAAGCATTAAGAAGTGTTTTGAACAAACCCGCAAACCATTGAACTAAAGAGAACTTGGCACCTCCATGTCGACACGAGGATAAGATGCTGAGAAAAATTACAACATTTGGATAGGAGAGCTCCAAATACATATCAACATGCCATGCTTGCGCAGACCAGTGATGATCATCGTCCATGAAACTATGTTTCCCTCAGGTATTTCATCAAACAGATGGTGAGCATCGTCCAACAAAGCACATCTGTTGTACAAACATATGAATAACTTCAACATAAAAATTGGCAATGAACCCAATTATCATCTCCAAACAGTGTTATTGAATACCTCAAGGTGTAATCATGTACACAATTGCTCGACCAACTTTTGCTATATCTATTAGGTAGTGCGTTTTTTCTCCGGTATAGTCATGGTCATAAGCCACAAAGGAGGTCAATATTTTTAAAATCTCTTTCAGCCTTAGAGTAACAAGCTTAACTCTTAACTTAGAAATAATTTCACCTCTATTATCAATCACTTTAACAAGCTTTTTTGCCTTAAATCTCTGCTTAACATACTTGTAATAAACAACTTTACCAACAAGTTTCTATTTTCCAAAAATTAAACTTAAAATTAGGGTTTTCACAACTCCATTTCCATTTTAGGATTCGGTTGTGATTCACTATCCAGAACAACAAGCACTTTCACTCTAGACCTATTAGCCTCTGTTTTTATCATCCTCCTACCCTCATTAACCCCAAGTTCAAAACAACAATTTTCATCCACAAGGTCAATCAACAAAATACAAATTGAAACACAATTGAGAAGGGTCAATCAACATACCTCATCAGTAACTATTCTAAAAAATACAAATCGAAACATAAAGAATCAAGTGGAATCGTGTTCGAATCAAAGAAAGTGAAAAAATGTAGAAGGGTGAATCGACAAACCTGTTCTTGCAAAGGTGAAGGATGTTCGAATCTGACAACAATCATATTGATGAGTTTCAGAGGGAGTAGTCTGAGAAAGTGAAGGATGTAGAAGGAGAAGTCTTAGAAACTGAACAAAGGAAAAGTGAAATTAGTGCGTGGGCAAAGGGTTATTTCACTGTTTATGGGCAGGCGAATGGTTTATCTGGGCGGCGGGTGAGGTTACCGCCGTAACCTTACATATTTTTCCACCTCCTTTGTTACAGAAAATGTGCGTTGATGAGTTTGAGATGGTGACGGTTGGTTCACCATCATGGGTTTTAGGGGATGCGACGGTTGGTTCACCGTCGTGGAAATGATGAGTTATTTCAACTTCTTAGTGCACTACGTGTGGGATAAAGTGAATAGGCGCGACTGTTGGTGCCCGTCGTGATAAATATAATAGGATGGTTACGTGAGTATCATAGACTTCAATTTTGGACAGTTTATTGATAACCGTCGCAGTTTTATATTTATTTTTAAAAAATTAGGGACGGTTGGTGTCAACCGTAGTAAATAATGTTCATATATATCAATTATGACAGTTGTCAAGTAACTGTCGCAATTTTTCTGTTGTAAAACACTATTTTTTTGTAGTATCATTTCAAAAAAGTATGGCCAACATTGAGCATTAGTATAACACTTCATTTTAGTCTAGATTGCACGACTTCGTTTCAAGACATTGTATACAACACATTGGAAGTGAGCTGAAAAGGGTAAATTTTGTTGGTTCTGACAAAGATGCATGTGGTTTCTTCATTAGAACAATACATGAGTTATCTTATGTGTGTCAACTTGCAGGTCTTCAAATATTAGGTGAATTTATTTCGTTAGAATCGATTCATGTGTTTTAGGAAAATTTATACATTGAAGAGCACGAGGTCACTCAAGAAGCTAGTGGGACACAAATGGATTTAGAAAAAAGAGAGTAAAGAGTTGAAGAGGTATTTCAGTATATTGGATATTGTAGGTTAGAGGGTGATGAAAAAAAGTTTGGGAACTAACACATCCATCCACAACATTCATGTGTCCTCCACCAGTGAACTACAAGCTAGAGAGGGAAATTAAGAAGAGTAAAAGAGTCAAGAAAGTGATGTGCATCGTGATCCTTCCTAGTGGGAGTATGCTGAGGACTCGTAGGAAAGTCATACTACAAAGAGATCATGTACAAAACCAACTGAAAGTCAACTGTCTAGCCAGTCTTTAAGATATATTTACCTGTCTCGGCTTTTTGTTTTCTTATATCAATATATTGATGACATTGTTGATGTGGGTCAAGATGAAAATTGTGGTTTCCGTGCTATTGCAACTTTATTTGGATGGGACAAAGAGTCATGGCCTTTAGTTCAGGTGCAATTAGATGCTGAAGTTTATCAACATCATCAAATATATTCCAATATGTTATATGACATGATATCTGAAGTTAGGAGTTTGTTGTACGTTGCTAGCTTGGGTGTGTAGAGTTATAAGAAGTGGATGATGATTCCTGATATGGGTTACCCTATTGCTTGTAGATACAATATCATATTGGTTTCATTGTCCAGAAACTTTAACATCACTTTTTTCATTAATGTCATCTCCATGCATAACTACGAATAAACACAAAATTGTTGCAGTTAGTTTTGGTAACAACAATAATTGGGTTCATGTGAAGTTGAAACCCGATTGTCTATTGTCTCCCGTCACTGATCGATGGAGACAAAACCATAGTGAAAGTGCAAGAGCATGGAAAACATCATATGCGGAATGTATAAAGCACGGGGAAAAAGAAGTTAGAAAATCAACATAATTTGTTTTGTATTGATATTGTAGCACATTTTGTATTATATGTATATATTTTATCGGTTATATTTTGTTAAAAATATAAAAACTTCAGGATTTTTCAAAAAGCATCACTACCTACCAAAATTATTAAATATTCAAAAAATTTAGCATGTACTAGATTTTTCAAAATATTCGGTATGTATTATAGGTTACCGAATTTTTTAAATATTTGTTATACATGCATCAAATATTTGAAAAACCAATATTTCTTCATACAATTACAAGAAAATAGTACTTTTCTATCGGATATTTTAGAAATTTCATATATTTTTTTTTCCAGATAATCTCAAAAAATCCGATATTTTTTGCAATATCCGGTATTTTTTCATATAAACGCAAAAAAAAATTATATTCTTTTGAAAAAGAATTTAATTGAAATACACTAATAATGTAAAAAAGTTTTACACCATCAGTGAATTATGACCTTTAAATTATAAATTATATTTTAATTTTATTTTAATTATTTATTAAATAGCATTAGTGGATGATTGTGATACACTGATTATATAAAAAAATTTACACTGACATTACATTAGTAATTAATCTCTTAAAAAAATCCCATAATTGCCGATACTTAAAAAAAGAAGCAGAATTACTAAGAAAGAGCATAACAATAAAAGCATTGCTCATGTAGGAATGTCATATTAAATTTAGGGGTGATAGGATAAATTCTCGATTAGGTCGAATAAAGGGTGTGAATAGCATAGCCCACGAAGCAAAAAAGATATTGGGCCTAGAAAGTCTCTTGTTTTCGAAAGGTTGAGCGTGTCGTTTAATCTTTGAATTGAATATAAGAATATTCAACCAAATAAAAAAAAAAAAGAGATTCGAAAATATATAAGAAGAAAAAACACAAGTAAACGAAGTATCAGAAAGCAATAGACATGAGAATCGTTCGTAAAGACTTCGTGCGCAATGGCCCAGGAAGCGTCAAGGTTCAATCCCCAAATACTCAATTTTCACACAACAATTCAATTCAATTTCCAAAATTCCTCTTTAACACGCGTTCTTTTTTTCTATACACAGATGGTTCCAGTGGATTCCGATGATCTATGGTATGCATATAACTTGATAGCTCCTGGAGATTCTATCATGGCCGTTACTATTAGGTCAGGCATGTTTTGTTGTTACTTTGTTTATTATATTTGAAAAAAATTGAATTTTTTGTTCTTTTGCTTATTAGTACTAGTTGTGTTGTTGTGACAGGAAGGTTCTTAGAGAAGCAGCTAATGGTGGAAGAGATGCAGAACGTGTTAAGCTCAAATTGGAAGTTAAAGTTGAAGATGTAAGTAGCTTTTAATTTTTATGCATTTATAATGTAATAATGCAACTTGAATTTGTACCTGTCAGTTGAGTTAAATGAGTTGAGTTAAATAATGGCCAGTCTAGGGTTCAATCTGTGGTGATAACATTTATTTATATTTTTGTATTAATGCAGACAATTTATTGATATTTATAATGCATTCAATTATATCTTATCATGTTATTGAAAGTGACTCCGTAGTCTGGTTTAATTGGATGCATATGTAAATTACACCGTCAGGGAAATGATAATAGTGATAATAGGGTTTTGAGTTTATTTCTTAAGGTTTGTTCTGTTATGTATATTTTTTTTTTTGGTTACAGGGTGTGGATTATGATAAAGAAGGTGCGGTTTTGCGTGTTCGCGGGAAGAATATTCTAGAGAATGAACATGTTAAGGTAGTTAGTTAGTTAACAGGTACTGTCAGTCTCATTTTCAGCTGAGCTGATAAATTTGACTTCTTGTACTAATTGCTTTCTGCAGATTGGGGCATTTCATACTTTAGAAATTGAGCTACAGCGACCCTTTGTGCTCAGGAAGGTAATTCTTATGATTCATGTTGTTATTGTTTCTTATGTCTTTGCTTTGCGTACATGTATGCTAGATCTTTTACTTGGGTATATTGTTTTGGTTAGAATTATTGAAGTTGTTTTAAAAAATGATATTGAAATTTGGGGAGGTTTATGACAATTTCTTTTTCCTTTTCAAAGAATGGTGATTACTGAATATTGGGTTTTGCTTTTTGTAGGATGTCTGGGATTCTTATGCTTTGGAGGTACTCCAGCAGGCCTCTGGTATGTTATGGTTACCTGATAAATCTGCCAATTTTATATGACAGTACCAGTATGTTTTCATGGAAACCACGGGAAATCACGGAGCTGCTATTTTATGTGATATCTTCAATTTTGCACCCATTCATTGATTTATTTGTTTAAGTAGGAAAAATGAAGTAAAGCTTCTTGTAGAATCACATTTGTATTTAGTAGAAAAATGAAAATCATAATCCTCACCTGTTCTGCTTGTAATGTAATTGTTGGTGTAAATAATGTTAATATGGTTAACATTGTTGTTAAATAGCAGCTATAGCGATGTTGTAGTGGAATATGA